TCGAAACGTGGTAAAACGACGTTTTGTCTTCGACGCGTAAACGCGCTCGTTGTTTCCCCTTGTCTCTTTTCAACGCCTTTATACGGCCAACAAAGTGTCCGATATTAATAATAAGCGGACGTGTTCCCGACCGTTTCTATTCCGGACAGAGAGAGAGAGAGAGAGGGAGAATTAAAGGGAACGAAAACGCACCGAGCGGATATATTTAGAGTACAAACATACACGTTATATCCGATATATACGTTTAATTCCTCATATAGAACGAAATCAACCGATTGGCCTTGCGTTCCCTCCTAAATATTTAATTATAATTATTCGATATTCACTAGGGTGGATTAGTGAACCGTGGTATGATTTATTCTGTTTCGCTCGTTCCTGTATTACGAGAGAAAACATTGAAGAAAGAAATCGATTTGCGAATTTATCTTATATATATATATTTATATATATATATTTATATATATATATTTGTAAGATTTTATGTTTATATGTTAATATGACATATAATAGAATGTGTGAATAGAAATTTTAATAGATTTTAATTAGATTATCGTGGTGATGTTTCTTTCTATTGAAAACTAAAATTTTTTATTATAAATATTGTTAAATTACTTAAAAATATATCAAATTATATAGTCAATTGTTGAGATTTTGTTGAAAATAATTTTAAATACAATGACGAGATAGTAAAGAAAGGAGATATATAATACAGACTATATATAATAATACAAATATAACATATAGAATAAAATAGAGATGATGGAAAGGGAAAGTCTTATTATAATTAAATTTTTAATACATTGTTTTCAACATATTTTATGATAAATCTTCATAAACTGAAATGAAAAAAAACAACAAAATCATTTTCAACAAAATCAATAACTTTTATTTCGACTTAATCACATTTACAACATTAATTCTCGCAAATTAAAAAATTCATGAAATAATAAAATAGTCAACAGTTAAATTGAAAGCATATATTAAAGCAATCAAGTTAAAAAAAAACAAGTTACAAGAAACACGAACGTACAACTATATTTCACGAAACGAAAAAAAAAAGAAAGAAGAAAAAAGGATAAAAATAATTTTCGCTAATTTTATATACTCAAATTTACATATTATTTACAACTCGAAACCAATTTTTACGTTCACATGAGCAACAATCCACCACGATTTGATTATGTAACTCGGCAAATGCACCAGGGATGCGAAAGCGAGGCAGCGTGAAATATCTTTCGCGATCGTTCCCTCCCTTCTACCACCCCTCACCGCAGAAGGGGGTGAGAAAAACGCGCGGCGCGAGCGGAAAACAACCGGCTACTGATTACAGCGATGACAAATGGTAGCGTGGGAATTACGAAATGAAGGTTTAATAAGGTATGAGACGGATAGGGCGACGGCCACATTCCCCGCGCTAATTAACAAATCCAATTTTAATCGACGCTCCAATTCGCGCTCGCTAACTCCCACCCTCCCCTCTAGGCGGCCCACGTTGCGCCACGGGTAAAAGTGATCAGCGGCTGGCCCCGTGGCGAAATTATTTCGCGTCAGCTGGACCCTCATTTGCTCTTTTCTCTTTTTTTTTTTTTTTTTTTTTCATTTCTTTCTTCGGGAAATGCGATTACCATGGAATACGACACTTCGATAGCTGTTTGCTTCATATGTACAGGGTCGAAAGATCGATTCTGGAGGTCGAAATAAATCGTGGAAATTGTTGTACGTACGATAAATACATAATTTATTTTTAAATTTGATAGAAATGAAGCGAGACAATTCTTTTTCAAGTAACATTTGCTCAAATTTCTTAAAAATAACATTAAATTATTCTATGTATATATGTCGCAAATATATTCGAGCAATATTATACTATAACGTATAAATTTACTGATATTTGGAGAAAAATTCGTTAAAACAATATTTGTCACAGAATAAATTTTTAAATTAAAACAACGACCGAAATACTATTCATTCATTAAAATTTTAGAAAGAATCAAATACATCCAAATTTTATAAGAAATAATTGTGTTTCCAGTTATTGTAGACCATAGATAAAATCAACATCTTCTGTATATCCTTCATTGTTTTACCATTAACCTGAAAAATTATTACTCTCTCTCGATCCATCCACAAATTGAAATCGCTCGTAAATTCAAAAAAAAAAAAAAAAAAAAAAACAAAAACAATATTCCCCCGATTCTCTATACCAAATTGATGTCCCACCATTGTCATCACGATGAACCTCAGAGTCAATGAAAACGCGTAACACACAAAAAAAAAAACGCGTATCCCACATATCTCCCGTCAATTGTCCCGAGATTTTTCGGCCTGGTGGTGTCCGTAATAACCAAAACGCTCGCCCAGGAACGAAGGGAGCATTGAATGACCGGACTTTCCGCGATCACACCCGAATAATTCAGGAAACCTAGTCCGAGGATCGAAAGCGATGACACGAATGGCATGCCAGGCGTGTCCGTGGTAACCCAATGGGACTGGTCTCTTAATTAAAAATCGTGAAATCCGGCCCCCGTCGTGTCCCTTTGTTACCGTTCTCGTCATTCGTCGTTTCGTTGAGCAAAGAGAGAGAGAGAGAGAGAGAGAGGGAGGGAGGGAAGGAAAATAAAGCATAGCGGCATCTACGGTTTTTCCATGGTGTGTCGTTGAAAAACGATCAGCAAGCGGGACAACCATTGCTCGCATCCGCCATTCTTTCGTTTGTACGCATCCACGCGAGCGCTCTCGTCCTTTTCCTCCCCTTTCTCTTTTATTTTGCTCCTTTTTTTTTTTTTATTATTGTCCTTCTCGTTTCTTTTTCTTCTCTATCGCTTTTTTCCTGCTGCCGCTTTTATTTTATGTGAAACATCTTATCCGAATTTATCGTAGGGTTAGAATGTTATTTCTCGGTAGGTTTAGAATCGAGAAATAAATAGTTTGCGGGAGTTTGATGGTAGAATTTTTTTTTTTTTATTTGATGATTTATTATGGTTCCTCTATTCGAACTTATTTCTTCGAACTTGATGATTTAAAAAATTTTCTTTTGTGTATCTAAAAATGTGTAGCTAAAAATTTGTAGCACAATTTTATTCTGAAAAAAAAATTTGAAAATACTTAATAAAATAATAGATAATAGAAATAGACAATTGGATATTTTTTAAATAGTCATTAAAAACTTTATAAATAACTATTTCACAGATTATAGTTTAGATATTATATTTTTAAGATAAAACTTAAATTAACTTAATTTATATAAATATTATAATTTATTTTTCAAAATATTAATGAAAACGGAAAATATTTTCTTAAAGTATTATTCCACAAACAACATAATTTCATTTGAAAATATTAAAAAATGTATAAAATAACTAATCATACTAATAAAATAAAGATTTCATTGAATTACCATATAAATAACTATGGTTAAATTTATTACCATTTATTCTTCATCTCTTTTCGTATTCCACATTTCGATCTCGAGACTCCTCTGATAACATTCGCTCATGTTACGAGATTGTTGGACTGTAAAACAACCGTATACACGGCGAGCGGAACAACATGGGGCGCCAAAGCACAGGTGCATGGCCCCTTGTATATATTCAGCAATAAGTTTCATTGTTCGCTCGGTGGGTAAGTATCGTGCGTTTACGCGTGTACATGCGCATGAATTTTATAGGTCGATCTTTTCGTGAATATTACGATGGTCGTTAACATTCATGGCGGATGGAATTTCTTAAAAAGGGAAAAACTCACTTTCTCTCTCTCTCTCCCTTTCTTTCTCTCGCTGAACTATGCGCTGGGCTCGATCGATAAAAGAGAAAAAAGAGCGCGCTTTTTTAAAATTCAGTCGCCGAGTTAGTGCACGGAATTGCGAACGGTGAATTAGCGGAAACGTGTTTTTAATGTAAACTGGAATTAATAGAACGTGGTGGAGGAATGTGGAAAGGGAATGTTGGCGGAAATGATGGTTTCTCTCGAGTAGGATGATTTTTTGAGCATCTTTTTTTCAGAGAGAGTGTGGTCGGGGTTTATTGAGGTTTGTTGTTCAGGGCTTTCGTTTTTCTTGTACAAGGTGGACTGGTAAAAATGGTTATTCTTTTTTTTTTTATATACCTGGAATTTTAGTACATGGAAACAGAAGAATTTTTTCAATAGAAATTCTTTAATAGAAGACTTTAGTGTCCACATGAAAGTTAAATTTATTTTTTTAATGTTTATTATCATATTTTTATATCATCTGATGAAGAAAGAAAAATATTTTGTTATGATATAATTTATCTTTAGGGTATATAAAGTTTGAGGAATGATTTTGTATCCATATAAGAAAAAATTTAAAAAATATAATTTTTTTATACATAAAAATATTTGGAACTTGTTAGTGAAATAATAAAATATTAAAAAATATTAAATATTAAATGAATGTTGTAATTAGTTATTGAATGAAATTTTTATTGTTTTATTCTGCAAAAAAATGTTTAGATTTTTAATGGATGAATTTAAAGAATAATATATAAAAGAAAAATAAACGCACTTTCAATTGCTTTTTTTCTTTGACTTTTTTCAAAGATTTACAAAGTATTTACATCGAATAAAATGAATTCTTGCATAAGATCGTTAAACCGTCAAACGAAGTTTCCTATTTTCAAGTACATTTTCAACCTGGATTGCTTTAATCAATTAAGGTTTCTAGGTCGACGTCAAATTTTTTTCTCCAGAATTATTCTTTCGTTTCTCTTTTTTAAATGAAACTTCGAAAGGTTCTAAGAAAAATTGAATAAGAAAAATAATTTGCACTTTCTTTCCACAGTTTTAACTTTTTTTATTTTTTTTTTAAACAACTAAAATACGCACATAGTATTAAATTAATATCAATATTTTAACATTCTCAAATAGAAAAATTTTATTTGTTTTCACTTATTAATATTAACTTTTTGTATATATATTTTGATATATATTTCAATGAAATATACACTATTAATATTTCTATTTCCTTTTTTTATATTTTATAGAGTGCCACGTCTCCTGGTGCTAGCAACGATGGTCTCACGAAACAGCAACTGGAGCTCATTCAACAGATTATGCAACAGACGCAGCAGCAACAGCAACAACAGCAACAAACATCCGCGCAACAGCCACAGCAACAACGCAGCAATTCATCAAGCACAGTCACAGCGCAGATTCAAAAAACGCAAAAACCGTCCGTCAAGTCCACAACTTCATCTGGCAGCGTTTCGAATAATTCTGGAAGTTCAAATGCAACAAATAACGCGAGATCCAGCCCCAAACCTAAAGTCTGGAGTCACGTACAGGTAAGTTTAAAATACTTTGAAGTTACTAGTGAAGTTTAAAATACTTTTTTTTTTTAATTATTAAAATTTTCAATATATTTCTCAATATGAGATTTCTTTTTTTAGAAAAGAAATATTGCAAAGTAAAAGAATAATTAAATAAAATCAAATTATCAAATTTAATAAAATAAATCTTATTCAATCTTTTAAAAATTATAAAATGTTTAATAAATTATAAAATTCATAATAAAAAAAGATTTAATCAAAAAAATTGAACAATATCTTCTAAAATACATTTATGAATACATTATAAATATGTGCATAACACATAAATATATTCATATAATATTTAAAAGTATTCAGACTTTTTCAATGCTTTTAAAAATGTAGCTTTATTCGTTTAATTTCTCAAATTAAAAATTTTATTATCTTATTACATCTCTTTTTCACTAGTTATAATTGTCTCGTTTAAAAACGTTAACTAATTCTTTTAAATAAATTCAGATATAAAATTAGATATAAAAAAACGAGATAAAATTCTGAATTTTAACTTAATTCGTGTTTTAAATTGCAATAAATAATTCCCAAGAGAAAAAGAGAAATAAAATACATCAATTTTAATTTCATATAAAAATCTTTCTATTAAAATTTATTTTATTTATCAATTTTTCAAATTATATCTGAATATCTCATTCAAAAATTCTTAACAAATTGTCCTAATTTAAATATAGCTTTGTACAATAAACTAAAGAATTCACCCTCCAAAAATGTCCCACGAATATAACACTCTATTCTTAAGAAAGAGATAAATAAAATACATTAATTCCAATCCTAAAATCGCACATAAGTAATGGTTCGTGACACTCTCACCGAGATTCCACCTCAGGATGTCAAAGGAGAGGTGACAAAGAAATATTAGGTTGACCATTACTTAATAGCGACTCAACATTGTGATACGTTGCAATGTGCATACATTATTTACTTCATGCGAAAATATTTTAACGATGGCGGATAGTGATATATTTTGTCATTACAACTAATCAACGCAGCGTGACCTGTTAAAGTTCCGGTAGTTGGTATGCGTTTAAATTATGGAGCCGTATTTGCTCCCCTGTTTGCTCCCCTCGATTCTCGACTCTTTTTCGGCATCTTTCGAAATAATTTGTCAATTTGCATCAGCTTCTTTTTCGAATGGATGCGATAATTAATCTGTTATTTTCGTTTCGGATCGTTTAGATTTCCATGGAGAGAATTTCTTTTTGATATAAATCATATATTTTGATATAAATCATATAAATGATATCTCTTTGATATAAAGCAAATGCAAAATAATAATAATACGGATATAAAATATGATAAATATATATGCAGATGTAATATATCATGTTGAGAGATTTATTAGTTTTTAGAATAAAGAAGAATAAAACAAAACTAGAAAGAAGAAGAAAAAATTAAATAACAGTGAATGAGAGTAGCACTAAATAGAGAGACAGCTAGTTTAAATTAGAATAAGATTAATCAAAATGGTGCATAACTTTTAAATTTTTTCTTTATCAAAGACAACATTAAAAAAAATTTGCAATAAATGGACATATAGCTAACAGCTTCAATACCAATATAAAAATAATAGACATGGAAATGTCATAAAATATTAAATAGAATATATATATTTTTAAAGGATGATCTTTATTTTTTTATAAATTATATATCACTATGATTATATTTTCTTAGATATTTCTTTTCTAATTATAATTTTTTTTTTCATTATTTTCTTCTTTATAATATAAAGGTTTATTTTAATTATTTTACGATATTATATTATAGCTATATAATTGCCAATTTTATCATGTGATAAAAAATTTACTAGTGTTTCAAAATTGTTATATAAACATTCTCCACATTGCGAATATAATGTTTTTTCTTTTTCTAATCTTTAATTTTTTTAAAAGTTATCGTTATTTAACACTTTCATATATCTCGTTAGTGAAAATTTGTGATTCAAAAAATTTAAAATCATAATTAGGAATGATGATAACAATATCTATTGAAGTCAAAAGTAATAGGAAATATTTGATAAAAAATTTTATTGCTTATTTATCTGAAAAGAGGATACAATGTAAATATTATGTATATGAAAAATCAAAAATCAAATCCTTAATTTAATAAAAATTTTTTCTCATGAAATAAATATAATAAATATTCATATATAAACTTTTCTTTTCACTATTCTAATTTAATTCTATAATAAACACTTTGATATTTTAAAATTGAAATTGTATCACCATTAAGCCATCATTATTCAAGAAATTGTAACACTTGCTCCAATTCCAAATTTGTATCGATATTTTTATTATTACTTGTTATTAAATGAATCAATTTTCACTCAATAATTTCCAAGTTTGATTTTATTAATTTTTTAAAATAAAAATATTATTTTTATTTTCCTTTACTTCTTTTTCTATCATCATTCCGTACAAAATGAAAAATATTGAATAATAAATACGAATTCGAATCGATGCAATTCTAATCCATCGATAGAAGATTAATTCTCTATCCGATACACGTGTACACAGCACTATTCTATTTCTGAATGAACGTTTAATAATGAACCGGTAACAACAAGGATTTAGAGTAACCCCGTTTCACGCGAGTTAGTTTCAACCGGTCGTAAAACAAAAGCAATCACGGCCCACGACGTTTCTCAATTGTTGATACAAGAAATACAATCGGCAAACACCGAGCATGTTGCCACAAGGAATTCAGTTTCCAGCCACCTAAACATATCACCCATGCGTCTTCCACGTTGACTTAATCGATCTAATAGTAGTTACTCGGTCCATCGTGGGGACAAATTGTTTACCGTTCGCTTCAATCTATGTATAAGAACAATAAACTCTAATCGCGATGCATTAGCGAGGATCAACAACGTGGATCCTCTAGTATCTTTTTCTGTTTGACTTTTGGTAACACAATGTGGTCAGTGAAAATATTGTTGGCGCGTGTACGTATGAAACGTGTCTGAATCCACGTGTAAGTGAATTGTTACGATTCATCGAACGTAAAATTGTATTCAATCCCGTTTTACATTTACGGGATATGAATTATATACGCGGGGAAAAATTGCTTGTATTCTTTATTTGACGCAGCCCTACCCGTTTAAAACGCTTTCGAGTTTAATACATTTTAAGTTCGTGTAAAACTGGATGCTCGTCGAATAACACGATTAAATTTTTAACTTCGCTCGAGTATTATTGGGCTTGAAAATTGAATGTAACCCAGGTTTAATTAAAATTAAATATGCATCGTTTATTTAAAATTTATCGAGCATATTTTCAATGGACTCGAAAACGAACTTTACGTATTTTTAAAAAAAATCCACGATATAGCCTTGAGCAATTTAAGTATCTACGATTGTTTGCATCATTTGCATATCAAAATTAAAAAAAAAAATGAACGAATCAATTAAAGAATTATTTTATATTGATTGCATTTTAATTATTTCGAAATTAAATGTTATATTAAAAATACCGATAAATGTTTGATATATAGAAATTATTTTCAAGATTCTATATGATTTCATCTCTTCTTTAAGATATATTATTATAGATTTAAAATACATTATAATATTAAAAATCTTTCTCAAATAATCTTAATCAAATAAATAAAGTCTAATAGTCTTATCAACACGTTAAGAAGTCTCATAATAAACATTTTTTTCAAGATATAATTCCATCTTTGATTAAATTGCTATCGAAACTCGTTTTTCAAAATTTCTTCAATTCAAAATCTCCATTTCTCTTGCATAATTTCACATCTCTAAATTAGATTTAAAATTTCTCCTCAATCCTCAAAAATTTTCAAAAAGAAATTCATTCGAAGAAATCACTCTCAAAAATTTTTCATCAGAGTCTAGAAAAAAACAATTAACCAATCAACAGCTTAAATTCATTCGATAAACGCTTTGATCCCCTATTCTATTACCATTCCTCACGTCTGAAAAACGAAACACTTGAACCTTTATTTCCGCCTAACCTTCATTACATTAATGGCATAATAACCATTGTGACCAACGGAAGGGCTCGCGTTGTCTCTAAACAGAGCTCGAATCGATCGAATCGTCATTAATATGTATGAGATCTTTCGCCGATGGAAGGTGGATGAAGTTGGTGTCCTCTTCGATCGAGAGGGTGGAAACGAAGAATTCGCCGGAATCCTCGTTAACCCAGGAGAACGAGAGCCTGGCCGTAATTGGCCAGGAATTCGTGGACGAACGGATTCTCAGGGACTTTCGTCGGCCCGCTTTCGTCGTGAGGAAACAATCGGAGCGGTTCGAGCTTTATCCCATCCCGCGAGATCAAAGGTCGGCCCACACCACTGGGGAATAAATACTTTCACTTGGGGATCGATCGGGAGCGCTTCTAACAATAAGGGAACCGTGGATGAATTTTTGAAGTTCTTTGGAAAGGGGATTTTGCAATTTCTTCTTTAATTTGATTCGTTAATGATCTGAGTCGAGTTGAGTTTGCTTGTGTTAGAATTATATCTTCGTTTGGAGAGATAAAAAATTGAAGATGTGATTATAAAAAGTGTCAAAAATATTTGTTGAATTTGTTGTTTATTCTTTAAGTTACAATTTTGCATCTTCTTCTCATTGAAGAGATAGAAAAATTGCTTGAAGCTTAGATTAGTTAATAATAAAAATGAGAGATTGTGGAAATATTAAAATATAATAATGATGGAGCAAATGAAAACATGTGTTTTATATTAATATAATCAAAAAATAAAGTATATTTTATAATAATAATAGTTATCGATGCCTTCACGTGATCTTATATCTAGTTATGTTATAATTAGGCGGGAAATTAGAAAAAAACTTCTATTTATTTTTTATATTTGTTTTAATTTGTACATGAAACATTCTATATAAGTAATAATTAAAGAAATTATTACAATTATTAAAAAGAGAATGAATGATTACCATATAACTTTATTCTTTATATAACATTATTTTATTAACTTCA